ATCTCTTACAAGTGAGACATGATAATGAGTCATTTGTAAAATATGAAACATTAAAAAAAAATAGAATAGCTTTTTTGTTTTCTATCCACTCAAAGCTGCATTACAGAAGTACCTCTATAAAATTCTTATTTTGACTCTCACTGTATATTGTCACTAGTGGGCAGGAAGGAGATTGATGTTCCACTGAACAATGAAGCATGCCTACTTAAGCTGTCTTGCCACCAAGATGGTTACTCATGGAGTAGTCAAAATTCTCCTCAAGAGTAAAGGTGCCTTGCTGGAACCACAAACAATTGCCTGGAATCTCAAGGTTGAGCAGAGCAGAATTACAATATGTTTGCCAAGGTTACCAATCACTTTGACAACTGAGGACAGGAAATGGGCATTTGGTGGAATATTGAAGCCTCTGGGCACCAACGTAAAATGTCTTAGGTTTCTCAACTGTGTGAGCCTGGATGGCCTAGCACTTAATGTGATTGAGTATATTGGTTTAGTAGAGAAGTGAACTATTAATTATGCCAAACGTAAAGCTCAAAAACTTAGAAAATCTACCAACTTTACCAGATGACCTGCATCACTTACACAGGAATGCATATTTTATCAATGCAGCTGAAGATTTCAAAGTCAACCTCATGGAACATGTTCTACGAATCAAGGCTGTGCAGCACCATATGGGTGTTAAGTTTATATACATTGTGACACAGGCCATTTCATTCATAATTAGTCTCTTGAAGTGATCACTTCAAATTAGTTACAAGAGTGGAATTAGTCAGTAGAAATTGCAGTGACCCATGTTTGTAATGTCTTGAGTTCAACACTAAGTTCATTGCTTCAGGCATCACCTGATGTCTTAGTGTAGCCACACTGCATATAAGTGAATGTCAAGCCTGTCCATGATCCACCATCATGGCTGTATCACAGCAGTAGGTATATTCCTCTACATGTAAAAGGGTGGAGCACTTGCTTTTATTGTGAACTGTAGTGCATTTCAATAGAAATTGCCTCTGTCTTGTTCAGAGGTATGGTGTCTCTCTACTTACTTACTTTGAGTCTATCACCATTAGTTACAGCACAATCGACTTTAGCTGACTATAGCAGGCTCACATTTGAAGTGTCTGATATAGAGCAAAATCACTTAGAGTTTGGAGGCTCCTGTATGAACCTATATCTCTATTTTACAACTGTACAAGTTTACCAGCATATATCAAGCTCCACTGAGTACTACAGGAACTGAGCTAGCTACCACACTTTCAAATGAAAGTTTACTACTGCAGCTCATCCAGTTCAGTCACTAAATCAAAGTCAGGTTCAATTTGATTAAGGGGCTAAGGCTGAAGCAGTTCTAGCTTGTCTATGACCTTCCTGCCACTGTTGTAAGGTGTGGCAGAATAGTACACTCCTCTTATCTTGTCTTTTTATCTTTTGGTTTTTGTCTTCCACAAAATGAATGTTGTCATCTATGACATAGGGATGGACATTAGTATCCTGGAAATGGATCTGCTGCTGAAGTTATTACCCACTATAGCCTTTGGAACAAATGAGCTGCAGCTTTGTGTAAAACCATACAATGAGAGCCCAGAGATAGTGAGTTGCATAAGTACATATTCAAGAGAAGGCACAGTGCCTTTGAATCTACAAAATGGTGTTCTATAGGATATAAAGGACATGTAATAGTGTGTTATTGCCATTTTTTTAAATAATAGAACTGACCCATAAAACACACACTTTTTTTTTTGTTCACCAGGAATCAGGTTGCATATGCTCAGTCTGTTATGTGTCATAGTGCTTGCATTGTTCCTGTGCTTATCTGTGATTATGGATACTTGGATATTGTGTTTCCTGCTGAAATTATCATAGGCACAGTGTATGAAATATAACTAGCTGTGCAGCTAGAATTGATTCTGGTGAACCTTATTTAAAAGAAAATGTGGCTATCTTTACATTTTAGGTTATTAGCTTATGATTGTGCAGACATTTTGAATTGTACAGGCAGTTTGAATCCAATAAAGAAGCAGGAACGTATTGAATTGTTGGTTGAACATACTAATGTGTTTATGGGATTGTAATGTCATTTGGTTTGGACAGTAGTTATACCACATAGATGCAAATAATGCCTGTCCTGTAAAACAACCACTTACTTGCAGTGTAGTTTCCATTTGAAAAGGCTCCATAGTAAGGCTTTTATGCCCATTGCATAAAACTTTTTCCTTCAAGGTTTTTATTAATCTATTTACTATTCAAGGATGATGGTTTCTTAGCACATGTTTCAGTAGTTCGATTGTACAGAAATCCCAAAGCTCAGCATCCATTGACTTAACTGGTATAATCTTCATATAGAGTAGAGTGAATAACCATTTCATTATTGAGAGCTGCTTGCTTGAGTTATTGTGTTGATTGAATGGATTTGTCATGGAAACAATGTGTGTACACATGACTTGTGTTATTTTCCAGTTGGAGCCCCTTCTTTATTATGTTTTGTACCGTAACCTGGGACATGGCTTTTGCTACTGATCTTTGTGTTCATGGGTTCTTACCTGTTACAGGGAATGCCTTCAGGAAATGTGGAGTAACTGAACCGTAGAAAAAGTTAAATTGACAAAAATTCAATTGCCATTTCTGTTCAGGAATTCACTAACATAACTTTGTCAATGAGTCGGTAAAACCACAGAAGGAAATTTGTATTTTATCTTAATTGAATTGATATTTACATGTAAAACACAAATATTAAGCCAGACATTATTTCTTAAAATTAGAAATTGCTTCATGATGAAGCAAGAAAGTGGGCTAATACCATCAATCCTGGAATCCATTTCTTACCTTTTAGAATGGGATATTTGATTTTGTTTCCTGTTCAGTAGATCAATTCCTTTATTGTTAAGCCATTTAGAAAAGAACATTCTGTGACATACAAGGTGTTATGGATCTATGACTTGTGAAGTTATTTTCTTTGGCATGCATGTCAAGAGTGGCATGCGAAGTTATTTTCTTTGGCATGCATGTCAAGAGTGGCATGCAAAGTTATTTTCTTTGGCATGCATGTCAAGAGTGGCATGCGAAGTTATTTTCTTTGGCATGCATGTCAAGAGTGGCATGCGAAGTTATTTTCTTTGGCATGCATGTCAAGAGTGGCATGCAAAGTTATTTTATTTGGCATGCATGTCAAGAGTGGCATGCAAAGTTATTTTCTTTGGTATACTGTAGTACCATGTTCATATGGATAAAAATAATCAACATACTTAAAATAATTCTACTTCCAAATATTGTAAACATGTTAGTGGTATGTGTGTCACTAAGTCTGCATTTTATGTTTTATGATGATCCAGTTATTTATCTGTATCACTATAGTTGGAACACAACCTTCTATGAAATCAGGTAGTTTTGTGATGCGAAAGTTTATGCTTCAGTGCTTTGTGTTATTTCTCATTCACACCAGTAAACTTGTATTTAAGCATAAATCTTGAAAACACTCTCCCCAAAGCAAGTAACATTCAGCAGTAATTAAACTATAAAGAAAAAATGAACTTTTAAAAATCTGATATTTAATTTGCTTGACACTTTGATCAAAGTCACTCAAAAGTTATGTTTGACAGTACTATTTTTAACTGATTAGTTGTTTTGAATAATTTAATATTTGTTTTGAAAAGGATGATATGATAGTTTCTTCTTCTGTTTTCCTGTATTTCTAATGTACAATTTAAGTTTGGAAAAAATAAATATATTGTTAAAATATGGTAGTTTATGAGCAAGCAGTTGATAAATGTTTTATCCTACTTAGTTTTTGTATGCTGTATATCTCCGACATTCACAATACTCAAACACCATACACTGTAACAGAAACTGTCAAAATAACATTGAAAATGGGCAATTGATAGCTGTATTATGTATTAACAAGTCTCTCCTGTTGGGGATAGGTTGCTAGCAGAGACAAGCTTACATAAATGCATTTAAACATTGGGTGTTGCCCATACAAAACATTGCACAAAATAGGGGATTAAAAACATATGAAATTAACTGGATATAATTATAATCAATTTAATCAATAAACATATTATTACAAAAATTAAATAACACCAAAGGACATAAACACTAGAAAGAAAAATGAGTGCTCGTAATGAATATTGTTTTGACCAAGATTTAATAAAGTCGGTAAACCATTTCCTACAATCATTTGTCAACATATTTCTGATGCTCTAAATTGGGTCATTTGACTTTGCTTTATGTTCAATGAATTGGTACTTGTGCTCTAGAAGTCTCATTGGGATGGTGTTTGTCTAATCTGTTTAGTCTACTTGTATAAATGCCCCATTAGCTGCATCTTGTGTTCCACTTTATTCTTCCTTCTTTTGGAATTGTATGCAAGATATTCTTATTTCATAACTTATTAAAAACCCACATCCACTTGGGAAAGATAATCATGCTGTAATTTTTTTTTGTTCTTTTCACTCTAACAGTGAAGTAGATAGTTTTAATAGACAAATTAAACATATAAAGGGAACTTAGGATTAATGTTGATGAGATAAATATTAAATAAAATCTAATTTTCCAATAGACATTTCAGTCAGATAAAAAAAAATTAACAAAAAAGTAAAGTACATTGGCTATGCTTCCACATTTCAAGAAGAAACAAAACCTTAAACATATTGTTGATCAAACCAGGAAGAGAAAAACATGGTATTTAAAGCAGTAATTTGGTTACTAGAGAAGTAGTGTTATTTCTGTCTTGTGTTTTATTATACTTATGGTATCCTTTCTGTATTATTATGATATATTTTTCATGTTTCTCCTAATAAAATTTGAATCTTGATAGCTTTGTGTAGCATTTTATAATGAAATTAATCATCAGTTAATTATTAATTGAGAAAGAAGCAATAACGTGCAAAGAAACATTTTGTGATAAACACAGTAAAACTTGTGTTTCATATTTTTACCAACTTTTTTAGTTTTGAATGAATACTAAATTCTAGGAATGATTTTATTAGCCATATTTTTTTTATTGACAGGTAAACTGTGAGACTGACTTTGTGGCAAAGAATATTCAATTTCAGGAATTGGTGAAAACTGTAACAACAACCTGTTTACACCATACTTGGATGAAAGAACCATACAGTGAATACCTATCAAAGGTGTGAACTTAATAATAGTTATAATCATATAAGTAAAATGGAACAAGAAAGACAAATGATTGGTAACAGTTTATGCTTTTAGGGGAATAATCTGTACTGAGAAATAAGAAAGGCTGTTGCAACTGATATTATATATATACATACAAAACAATAAAAATCCTATAACCTGAGCACTTTCGAAAGGTGGACATTTCTTCTGCATGGGTAAACTGGGAATAGTGGTGTAACTGAATGAGTGATATATAAAGGGAATTGAGTGATGTCATGAAGGTCACCTGGGCTTCCAGGAAGAGTTTTTTTATATTTTTCAATATAATGTTGTAAGTGTGTCTTATTTCCGGTGCAACATGGCTGGAAATTAGAGCGTAATATAAAAAGGTGTTAGAGATGTTTTGCTTTGCAAATGGTCAAGAAAAACTTATATCTAAGTTTTGTTAAAAAATAAAGGTGATATGTGGAAGATATTTTAATTAACAAGTATTTTTTTATACAAAAGGTGTTGTTGTTGGTGTCTTTAAAGTGATTAGCCAGATTAAATTCATGATATCATGTGAGACAAGTTATGTGAACAATGTACTTGACACTGATTTTGAAGTCTGATTTTTTAAAACTCATTCTTTCAAATACATAATAAAAAATTTGTTTTGTTTATTATAATTCATACTATTGAAAGGAGTGATACTTCTGAATTATGTTACTCAGTTGTAGGCTTTAGATTATCAGTTATCGAGCTCTTCCAAAATTGTAATTATTCCACATCATCAACTTGGCTCACTAAAATTCTAACTGGTAATACATAATTTATGTTATAGTTATGTTATACCATACTTGATGAGATTTGAACTTTATATGAGTTGAGAGCTACCTAGTAGTAGTAGAGCCCATATATTCCTCCACACAAGAAGGACATACAAATTTGTAGGTAACAAATGTCTGTTATGTTTAGGTATTACATTTGATATCTAGAAAAGCAGTTTATTCTAACAGTAGACTTAAAAATACATTAATTGCAACTTGTGAATACACTCTGCCTAATATTAAAACAAACTTCCTTTTTTTAATATTTCAAATGTCCTAAATGTGGTAACTATTAATACTGGTTTTTTTGGCACATCAAATTTCAGGATTGTGTGGGTGATTAGTATATTTAGCATTTGATTGATATTACTTGTTATAAAAGTACTATTAAACTCATTTTGTTTCAGAAAGTTTTTAATATAATGTATTTCATCACACAAATTAAAATAAATAACTGCACATAGGGTGGTGTTTCTGATAGTTATTGTAAATAACTGCACATAGGATGGTGTTTCTGCTAGTTATTGTAAATAGCTGCACATAGGATGGTGTTTCTGCTAGTTATTGTAAATAACTGCACATAGGATGGTGTTTCTGCTAGTTATTGTAAATAGCTGCACATAGGATGGTGTTTCTGCTAGTTATTGTAAATAGCTGCACATAGGGTGGTGTTTCTGAAAGTTATTGTAAATAACTGCACATAGGGTGGTGTTTCTGCTAATTATTGTAAATAGCTGCACATTGGGTGGTGTTTCTGATAGTTATTGTAAATAACTGCACATAGGGTGGTGTTTCTGCTAATTATTGTAAGTAGCTGCACATAGGGTGATGTTTCTGCTAGTTATTATAATTTTGTTCAAAAGACATTTCAACTAAATTTAGTTAAAATACATATTAATCATGCTTGTAAAGAATTACAATAACTATCAGAAACACCACCCTATGTGCAGCTATTTACAATAACTAGCAGAAACACCACCCATGTGCAGCTATTTGTGTTAGTAATTACTGATTGTAGTATTCATACCTCATTGCAAAAAATTTAGAAAAATTAACATTTCCTAGAAAAGGAATTTCCTGGGAAATACTGCATGGGAAAAGTGTTCGGATTGTGCTGATATAAACTGTAGTGTTTTTATATATTAAAAGTGCTTCCCTCTATTGAAAAAAAAAGTTTTATTTTTGAATTTCATTTTTTCGTACTATATTTACAAATTACGACAATAGAGATATATTAAAAAACCCTCACATGAAGTCCTAGTGAAAGTCATGTTCTTGTTGTGAGGAGAGTACTTTTATTTAAAACTGCATTCTGTGATAAAGAAATGGTTGTTGCACATAGCATAGTTATTTTTCTCTTTGAATCTGGGAATTTTTTTATGGATTTTTTGTTTGTGGTGCCATTCAATAAAAAGTGCCACAGTGTATTTATTATTTCGGTCACATACATAGATAGATTTGTATATACACACTATATCCATTATAATAAGATGTGCAAAAAGTCCAGAAAAAATTGGGTCGTGGCAAACATCTATTTCAGAAGTAACTTGTCAATTATAAACAACAGTATCTAAGAATGACAAGCTACGTTATTTTTCACATTCAATAATGAATTTGTGCTTGGGTGTTTGCTGTTCAAATGTTGCAAACATTTTTCAACATGACTCTTGTGAATGAAAAATAGTAATGTGTCATCAGCATACTTTCTATAGTTAATTGGCTTAAGTTCTATATAACATTCTTTTGAGTTATCCACTGTGCTTTATAAAAACTCAAAAACAAATAAGCAAGCTTAAATGCCATACCAACACTACCAATATCATCATAAGTTGTTCCATTAAACATGAAATGTGACAACTTTTTAGTTGCAAAAGACAGCTATGTAGAAAACACATGTTTAGAAAGACCATTCACTGCATATGGAGCAGAAAACACCAGTTCTGTGCACAAAACAATAGTATATTATAATGGAATGTTCATACAAAGAGATTCAAATTCTGCACCATAGTCCAAAACTAAAAACTGTCTTTATTTTTGTTCCTTTTTATCTGCAATCAGGGGTGAAATTCTCAAAAAAAAAGGTACTCAGCTGGGTGAAGTGGACCTGTTTTTGAAAGAGAAAAAAAAAATGTACGTGTAAACATAAAAATGACAAAGCAGCTCAAATAAGTCCTGGTACTGGTACTGCCTTAAAAAATATGTTAAGATACTCAGTACTGATGAGTACTGGCAAAATGTCACCCCTGTCTGAAATACATATTGTAATTTTGTTTCTCTTGTAGACTTTGGTTCTTTATGAAAACCACAAATTTACTTTTTTTTAATGTACTGTTGACTATGTTGACATAATGTTTTGTACTTCTTGAGATATGTTGTAAGATTTCTTGCCAGAATTATAGATGTAAAAAGATTAAAATGCTAAACTATTAATATAAGTTCTCATTGTAAAGTTCTCTTCAGTATAATGAGATACCTTGCTCTCAACCAATATAAAAAGAATAGAACTGGTTGATTAGTGGTATTTGCTAATCAATTACTCAATGGGCCCATTGACTCTCATCATACAGGGTTGGTGAATTACACTGATCTTGTTACTACCAAGTAATCATGAGAGTATCCATACTATAACTTTAAATGTGGTAAGTATATCTTTATGAAATTTTGCAAGCTTTCAGTAAACATTAGAAGACTCTTGTACACAAAAAATCAGATTTTTTAAATGAATATTTTTACTAAACTTTGTCCATGAATACATGAAGTCAAACGTGTTGACTGCTCCGAGTGCAAAGTAATTTTCATATTAAGATTAAAAATACTTTTCTTCATTTGAAAATTGGCAGATTTTATTTGCATAACCTCTAAAACAATTTAAATAAATATCAAACGTTTTTTTCAGGTAAACTTTACATCTTAACTGTTATTTTCTCTACCCTAACTATATGGACAGTCAATTTCACTGACCTTGTAACCATCATGAAAAAATACAAAATAAAAGTAACTTACCCTTTTCCTTACTAGAATGACTGCAGATTTCAAACAGAAAACTACAATTCATTATTCTAAATAGCTTAAAGCTCATAACAGTTTACGTGTGTTTCTAATTAATTTTATTTTTTTATTGACCTTTGAACCACATCTAACTAACAATCCTGCCATAAAAGTTGTATATCATTTGATGAACGAGTAGCTCACATTACTGTATTGAATTACTTAATTCATGAGTTAATCATCAACAAATAGAAAATATACATGAAAAACAAGAAATATAGTACTTGCAATCGATATCTTATTTTTATATTGTCAGTTGCCAATGGAATTTAAGCCTACTTTGTTTTGTAATGATGGTACAAGTATATTAGATAATTTTTATTTACTTAAAGAATGCACCTATGAACACAAAATAATAATATGTATAAAGGAAACAAGTGTCCTGTAAGTTTTATATAATTTAACTGGCTTTTTAACAAAGATGTAAGAACCTTAAAATAATTCCCTTAATTGTTCATCCCAAATACCATGAGATAAACTTTCAAACTGAAAACGAAATTGACAGTAATCTGTACCGAAACCAATGTAGCACTATATGTTATTTGATAAGTTGAAACTTTATAGTTCCTTTGATTATAAATGATATAAAACATCAGAAAAACTTGTTGGCAATTTGTGAAAGAGGGGATATGACAGGTGGGTGTGGCAAGTGGGTCTGAATTTCTTATTTAATAAAGAAGATTGAATGCTATAAAAGTTAAACTTTGATCTAGTAATATCTATATTATAATGAATAATTTGTGTTAAACTTTGTTCTTCAGGGATGGATGGTAAATAAATTAGAGAATGGGTAAGACCTAGAGAACAATTGTCACAATTCTCATACTAAGGGAGATTGAGAATTTAAATATTTTCTTTTAGAATAAAGAAATTAAAATTTATATAATACTAAAATATGATTTAGTTACTACATTTTGATGCCATGTTTATCTGTATAGATTGATAATAAAGAAATATAATTAAATTTTGAGCGAACTTTGTAAATGGTCATGATGTGCACTTTGAACTACCCATAGCAAGAGGGTTAATTCATTAACACATACCCTCTACAATCCTTCTATAAGTACAAGCGAGAAAGAAAATTGGGTGTGAGCTGCCTCCATAACTTTTCAAACACTGCATTATTCTAATATGGTATTAATCTTCCTATTTTC